TACTAATAATGCACTATATATTGCTTATTATTGGCAAATAATTGCATATCTCGAAATTGTCAGATTTTGTAAAGTATATCAACATTATTGATAGCTCACCTTTTCCAGAAACAAAGCGTCAAGAAAGTTTGATAAATTGGGTCGTTAAACCAATGTCGCAAGATAAACGAGTTTGAAATTAATAAAAAATTATTTGATGCCATTATTTATAGTAATATTCCCTTCAAGTTTGTTAATAACCCTTATTTTCTTAGATTTCTTGATGAATTAGCTTCAAGTTATAATCTGCCTTCTGCTGATTCATTAAGAACTAATGTTCTTAATAATTCATTTTCAACTTACTTGGATAAGAAGCTCGAATCAATGATGTCTTTTACAGACCTAACTATCACTTTAGACGGATGGCAAGACATATCCAAAAATTCAATTTATGGTTTTATAGCACTAAAAGAGGATAAGGAATATGTTTTAGACATCATTGATTTGTTATCAAGTCGGCATACAGCAATATTTCTTGAAGAACAACTAGAGAAGGTTTTTAAATTAAATTTAGTCTCTATGGATTTTATTATTGTATGCGTAACTGATAACCCTTCAGTTATAATCAAAATGAGAAACAATTTGAAAAATAAGTACCCTAACGTTCTTCCTATTTGTTGTTGTCTTCATGCCTTCAATTTGCTCGCAAAGGATGTTTTCGGTTTTCTGTTTTTAGTTCAAATTATTAAAAATAATCAAAAAATTATTAACTTTTTCATGTCCTCTCATCTTTGGTTTCGAGTATTGCAAGATTGGGAGAAAAAAGAAGGATTAAGTCATTCGCTTACATCATTTTGTGAAACTAGGTGGTACTCTCTTGCAAAAGTCTGCTTAGGAATAAAAGCATATGAAAGAGGGTTTTAATATTGTATTGTGCTTAGTTAAAATAATGATTATCCTATAATTAGAAAAGAAATTCAGGATATAATTAATAATCATTATCATTTTGCCCATAATGATATACTAGTAACAGTGCTTATCCCTATTGTAGATGCTATTGGTCATCTTGAATCCAGAAACACTACATTAGCTGATATTTTTAAAGAGTTAATAAATATTCATTATACTATTTTCTTTTTAGATATTTCAATATTCGGCTTTAAAAACCATGCTTTAACAGCTATCGATAAGCATGCTTGTGAGTTTTCTGATAGTATTTACTTTATTGCTCTTTTTTTGTTACCTAATTACAAAAAAATAGCAATTTCAAAAAAAATGTCTGGAGACACAATTATTAGAAGCATCTTGGAGTTAGCAAAAACCTAGAGTTTTGATAAAAAAGAAGCAACCCTTTTGTATCAAGAACTCATAAATTACAAAATTGAAAATATTTCTTTAACTACCCATATAAATACCAATGATTTTAATCCAAAAAAGTTTTGGTTTCAGTTTTGTGGAGGTTTTCTATTCCTTCGACATTTTGCAATGAAGATCTTTGCAATTGTCCCACATGCGGCAGCTGTTGAGTGTCTATTTTCAAGTTTGAGTTTAGTGAAAACAAAATCAAGAAATAGAATGTCTTCCGCCCAAATGGAAATGATCGGAATGCTTCGTCATGATCTTCAGCAAAGTTTGCCTGAAATATTAAAAAAAAAAACTAAAATGAAGAATCAGGGTTCATCAACCTCTACTAATAATATAAATTTGAAAAATGCTAATGTCGATATTTTTTTTGAGGAATTTGATGAAAATGATATTTCACAAATGGATGTCGAATTAGCAGATTTTGATATGGGTGATAATAATTCAGTAATGGAGGAATTTTTTGATATTCAAACTTTTGAAGAACAAACTGCAATTGAAGAAAGATCGGATCCTTAAGAAAATACTAATATTAATGAAGATTGGTCAATTGATGATATCTTACGACCTTAATTGACCTAACACGTATTAATTATCTAAAATCTGTAGACATGTGGTGTTTAATAGATTGTATCAAGTTGAATATTGTTAGTATTTAGGGATTGGTGTTAAAATTGATAAAAAATGACATTATTAATTATTAAAATCTATAAAAATTGTTAAAACATTTGTAAAAAAAAAAAAAAAAAAATTAATAAAAGAAAAAAAAACTTCTGTATCAGTTAGTATCGGTTATTTTGTAAATAAACTAAGACTACAAGTAATCTGTCTGCAGGTTTTTTAATAAATATATTTGAACTTATTTGATCTACTTGAATAAGTTTTAAAAAAGTTACTTCTGGGTTTCGTTTTTTGTAAAATTTTTTAAAATGCAATTCTTGTATAACATATGACCCAAGCCATAGCATAATCAAGGTAGCATGCCAGGTATAAATTTTAATAAATGGCACGCCACGTGGCATTCCAAATTTTTACCTGTGCCAGTCACCCTAGTTTAGGTGCTAAAGATTCATTATTTTTGTAGGAGACAGTATTGGTTGACTTAGCATATTGTAAAGATGACTTATTTTTTTAATATAGATAATGGCTTTTCAAGACTATCTTGTGTATTTACTTAGTTTTGCCATTTTATTATATGTATTTTATTTTGGTATATGTATTTAAATCGCAAATTTTGTCAAGATACGTAAAATTTAATTTGATTGAGTTTTTTTTACGTATATACATATATATGTACCTAATAATATATACATGCAGATGTATAGTAGCCCCCAAAAGTAATGCCTGATTTTTCAATAAAATAAAGATTTATGTTTTATTCTATTTTTGCATTATATATATAAATTTT